CTATTGCGGAACAAAATCGTTAGATTACCAGTATTCGACCCTAATTTAACTGTAATAAATAAACGCATTCGATCGAAAAATATGTTACTTATGTTTTTTCTGAGTTACGCTCTTTTTGGAAAAATAAAGGAGATCATATTCTTGTCCAGTGGCCCAAATTATGCAAAAAAAAACTCATTTAAAAAAGTAATTTTCATTTCGTAAAATTGTGTTTTTAAACGAGTAGTATGTATTTAGTTCCTTCAAACGATGTATTTCAATGTACATACATCATGAAAATTTTGTACAAAATTCCTTAGGCGCCGAACGCCGCCGCCGCCGCGCCGATATTTTTGTAACTCGGCGGCGGCGAGTGAGGAATGACAAAAATCGGCGGCGTGGCTCGGCGGCGTATACCTCTAGTGAGTATGAGGTATGTACCTACGAGATCTAATGTGTAAACATCTGTGTACGGTTTGGCAGAAGATTAGACGATTCAGATACATACATACGTATGTAAATAGGTTAGGCAAGATATTAAACATAAATCTCATTTATTTTATTCATGCTGTCGGGACCAGTGCACGTCTTTTTAACTGACTTCCACAAAAGGAGGAGGTTATCAGTTCGTCGGAATATTTTATTTTATTTTTTTGTGTATGTTACCGCATAACTTTGGACCACGCCAACCTATTTCGATAATTCTTTCTGCATCGGAAAGGTAGTGTCTCAGAGGTCGTCTCATACTAATCTGGTTTAGATCCGGTCATTGGATCATGAAATATATATATTTATATATATCGAGCCCTAACCGCCAAAAACGCGTAAGCGACAGTATGTTCGATTTTATGCTTTTGACAGAAATCGATTACTTACGAATTACCGTTACAAAGTTATAGCGAAAGCAAGTTTGGCTTAAGCGCTCAATTGTACTCTGTTTACATTTTTTTGTGCACCCAAAGTGTCGGTTAAGCCTTTTTCTCCGTGAAAAATTTGTCATTGTAGAGAGGAAAACGTTAAATTTTTGTGTGAAAGTTTTGTAGCGTCTCTATTTTTCTTCAAAATGTGGACTTTTCAAAAACAAAGGTAAACTAATTTGCGGTAGATTAAGATTTTTAATTAAAAGGATAAAAATGTAATACATGTACATTAGACTGCATCACCAAAAAAAGTTGCGGTTTTTCCGGCGGGATTACAAAATTTATTATATTTTAAGACGTTCACCAAAATATTTGCGAAAAATATTAAGATTTAAGTCAGCTGGACCGATTTGAAAACACCTCCAAAAATGGAGTGTTTTATGAATAAAAATAGTTTCGTAAAGAACTTTTTGAAAAAAGTCTGCTCAGATGACAAAACAGATTAAGCTTAAAAAATCTGCATAAAAATAATTTAAAAAATTTTCAACGGAATCGTAAGAATGAGATTTTTAATGCTGTTTTTTTACTTTTTTCAAAGATTGATTTACGAAAAACTTGAATAACTGGGCCAAAACTATTCTGATTTAGACTCATGGGATCTCGGTAGAAAGGTATTTTCACACTGTTTTTATTTCTGTCCAAAAAAATATCATTCGTGACGCAATTTTTTTTTTTTCAAATACCAACACATCTTAATTCAACTTTGAATGACGTTCGTTCATCCTACCTTTCTCTTTCATCCTTTGAATGAGTTTATTAGCAAAGAAATGAAAAGGGTGAGAAAATACCTTTGCACCGACACTTCTTAAGTCTAAATCAGAGCAGTTTAGGCTCAGTTATTCAAGTTTTTCTTATACCAATCTTTGAAAAAAGTTAAAAAAAACAGCATCAAAAATCCCATCATTACGATTCCGTTAAAATTTTTTTTTAAATTTTTTTTAAATATTTTTATGCAAATTTTTTAAGCTTAAACCGTTTTGTCATTTGAGGGGAATTAAAAAAAAAATTCAAGAAACTATTTTTATTCATAAAAACTCCATTTTTGGAGGTATTTTGAAATTGGTACAGCTCACTTAAATCTTAATATTTTTTCGAAATATTTTGGTGGACTTCTTAACATATAATAGATTTTATAATGCCAATGGAAAAATAGTACCGATTTTTTTTGTATGGGGAGTGATGCAGTCTAATGTACATATATGGTGTTAAAATACTTGGCTTTTGCAGAACTTAACTAAAGGCGCACTAGTCCCATACAGCGACACCGATTCTTCTGAAGAGTTAGTTGAAGAGGAAACTTGTGTAGGAAGACGAGATTGGAAGACGCCGAAACCACTACCCAAAAGACTTCTACGGAAGAAACAACGTAGTACTGCCGTAAGACCCAATCCGTGTGCTAATACAAAGTGAGGAAATGCTTGCGCCGATAATTTCGCTGAGAACCGGCGGTTACAATTAAATGAACACTTTTGGGGGATGGGCAATAAGAATCGTCAAAAGGCATGGCTGTTATCTTGTATGAAAAGGGGCAACGTTAAAAGAAAAAAAGAGTAGAAAATAGCAACAGGCGCTTCAGTTATGATTACGTTATAAATTACAATAACACAAGTACTAAAGTATGCCAACAGTTTTTGCTTAAAACACTAAACATAACAAAAAAAAGTGGTTTCTTGTCATAATAGGACTCCTAAGCATAAGATAGCTCTCGCAAATTCGTTTATTGAACAACTACCAGCAGTTCTATCCCATTACTGTCGAAATAAAAGCAACAAACTGTACCTTCCAGAGCAATTTCGCAACGTATCAATATTATACAAATGCTATAGCGAACACTTAAAAAGCATTAATAAGCAAACAGATCAGTTATCCCTCCGGATGTTTCGACAAATCTTTCAAAGAACGAGATTTGTACCGTAGTTTTCCAGTACTTAAAAATAGTGGACCAAAGAAAAACCCATACATCCATCAGTTTATACTGCGACAGTGGTGCAGGTCAAAACCGGAATAGAGCTATGCTTGCAACACTTTCATTTTTCTTAGAAAATTCAACTAGTATTCAAAAGATAAAAATTACATATTTATTACCAGGCCATACAATAATGCCAGTTGATTCCGTACATAGCACAATCGAGTCGTTTATTCGCAATAGGAATATTTGGGCTCCGAGCGAATGGTACACTGTCAACGCGAGGACTAATCCAGCTGGTCATAACTGTATGAATGAATCATTCAAATTTTAAGAACTGGAAAGCGTTTTCACTAGCAGTCTTTGAGCCTTCATCAAAATTGTTCTTCAAAACATTGCGATCTGTGGAATTAGTAAAGAACAATCCTAATGTTGCGCTGAGGTGCGGATACTTTGAACATTCCAAAAAAATTGAATATACAAAACGCAACTCCTTGTTACTAAATAAAGGACCTTCAACTATATACAGTAGTTTACAAAATATTTCATCTATCAAGTATGCAGATTTGAAAACGCTTTGCGATAAAAATATAATTCCACAAAAATTCCATAGCGAGTACCTTAACCTAAAACATAAGTCATTTATTAAAGATTCATTACAAGAAACTGATGAAGATGACGACACCGAAGTTATTTAGTTTTTATAGCGAACTATTTTAATCATTAACGTATGTATTTGTGTTGAAGAGTGGTTTTCTTAATAACCACAATAAAAGAAATGAGGTAATGCCATCAAAATGGTTTTTGTTAATGCAAAAAATATTTTTTTTTAAATATATCTTTTGGCTTAACCGCCGCAATTGCATGCTCCAGTCTTTTTTTTTGTGACGACAAAAAGGGCGAAAGCGACAAAATCACCTGTTTCATTAAAGATGGGCAAATAAAACCACCAGTATTATATACCTAACATCAAACTTAACTTGTTCATTAACCTTCACGTTAGTATCTACAGTTATTGCAGTGTTAATAAGAAAAAAACGCCTACTGAAAAATTTACTTTATGTCGCTTACGCCTTTTTGGCCGTTAGGCCTCGATATATATATTTTTTTTTAATATGAGAATTGAAGTTGGTTTTTTTTTTGCTTAAAAATTACTTGTTCATAACCACTTCGAGAATAGTTCAGGACTATTTGAGGATAATTTCGTGCCTAGTTTGGAACTACCATGAAAGGATTCCAAACTAGTCCCAAAACTGTCCTGAATGGTTTTTAAAAAGTCGTGAACTTATCGTGAACTTGTTCAAGCCTTGAAACAGTCCTTTACCAGTCACAAAATTATCTCGAACTATTTCATAAAGGTATTTGGGGCCCGCTGTGGTGTAGTGGTAAGCAGTAAACGCCTCCACTACGCACCGCATGGGTTCAAGCCCTGGTCAAAGCAACATCGCAAAAAAATTAAAAAAAGGTTTTTCTTAACGGCGGTCGGCTTTCGGCAGGCAGTGGTAAACTTGCGAGTGTATTTCTGTCATGAAAAACAGCTTCTCATTAAAATACAATCGCCGTTTGGAGTCGGCGTAAAACTGTAGCTCCCTCCTCTTTGTGTGACAGCATCAAGGCGCACACCACAAATTGGAGGAGAAGCTCGGCCAAACACTAACATATGTGTAAGCGCCAATCTATTATTATTATTATTATCATTATTTCATAAAGGTTGTTCAACTAGTCCAGAGCTAGGCCCGAAATTGTCGAACTATCTTGAAGTGGTCCTAAAATATACCTAAACCAGTCCGAAATAGCGCCGAACTAGGCCAAAAATAAACCCGAACTAGGTCCAAATTAGTCCTGAACTAATCTCAAATTGTTCTGAAATAGACCTGAATGGATTCAACATTCAATTTCTTACGTATTAAAAAATTGTCTAAGGGCCGCCAGTTTCTCAATGTCTGTGTCGATCACGTCCATAACGATGTTTCACCTGTAGTCGGTGTTAACCAGAAACTGGTAATTAGAAATTTTTTTACTAGGTAAGAGGCCAATGTGCCGAGCTTTGCAGCCAGGGCGTCCACGTAGAGAAAAGAGGCCGTTAGGAATAAAATCTGACAAGAGCTTTGAATATTATTTGAAGCTACTATCGATTAATACTGCACTGACATTCTCCCAAATAGTTCTCTCAGATATCAATTTTTTCTACATACCCTCTGATGCTGTCCACGTCATGCATAAGCTGGATGTGATTGAAGTTCCTACCATCCTCCTTCCGCACGGCAAGAAATAAATTAGTTAGCCGGCATCCACTGATGGGGATCGTAACGCTTCGAGTCCTTTATCATAACGCGGGATACTTTGTGAAAATGGTTCTCCCACATTTGCTGGTGGTGGTGGACAAATAAAGGGAGGAACATTTACTTTTACGTCACTTTCTAACAAAGAAAAGTTTAATGTGTTCATTTATGAAAATAATTTCGTTGGTTTGCCATTGACTGCCGAGAGGTGAACGTTAATAGAAAAATACTTGAATGTTGGAATAAGAATCGAACCTGTGCCCTACCGAGTTTTAGGATGCATGCTCAAGCACTAAGTTACGGTGACCGCTTCTCTGCTAGTTTCAGTTTCTTCTTTGGCTGGTGAAGTATAAGTTGAAATCTCTTCAGTACACAGTAAATATATTTCCCCGGCGTAGTCCTATAGGGTACCACCTCTTCTCTCTCTTATATTGTTTGAATTATTTTTTTTTGTCTAGTGTCAGCAAAGGGTCAAATCAGGCTGGCCAATCTATTTGCTATCTCAGGAAGTAAAGTAAAGAGGAAATAAAGTTTCTCTATGAGCTTAAGTAATGGTCTGATTATGCGAACTTTGCATAACTTCGCACAACTTCGCATAAACTTCAAACTGTAATTTCGTATGTACTTTGTATCTAATTTGTATGTATTCCATTACCCAGAAATTAGCAGAACTTTTAAAAACTTAGCGATCTGTTGAGTTTAGATTTTGCTTCACATTTTCTTAAGTTACATTTTTATTGCATTGGTACAAATGGTTGTGCGAAGTTATGCGAAGTATGCATAATCAGACCCGAACGCAAATTCTGAGATTTCTGCATTGAGGAAGAACAGAAGGACGAATCTTGGTAAAACTTTTGCAACAACATAGAAAAAAACTGTGAAGACAACAGGTTGCGAGTATGAATTCCATCCAGAAGCCTAACGGTGACAGGAGACATCATGTAACAGAATGCTGGAGGTTCTTATGAGCACTCACTTCCCGGCGTGCTTTGACGATACCTCCGATAATTCGCGCGTTCCAAGGAACAAGTCCTACCCAGGCAATACCGTTACGAACATCGTAATTTATGATAAAGTCGTAATTTGATTCAATGTCTCTCCAACCCTACAAATCTCTGGGAGTTGATGGAATCTTTCCCGCGGACCTAAAAGCATCTGTGCCCTCTGCTTTATCAGATTTTTACAGCCTGTCTAACCCTAACTCACATACATACCATACAAGTGGACAAAGAAGAAGGGCCGTTCATGTGAAATCGAAATATTTCAGGCCTATAAGCCTCACTTCGTTTTATTTTGAAAATCCTAGAGACAATCCGCGCAGACCCCGCTTAATGAAATCGTATAGAAGATTGAAAAAGTACTGACTATAAAGAAATACAGGCTGGAAGTTTCTCTAAATATCGAGCGAGCCTTCAATTATGTCTATCCTAAAGCTGTTATTAATTCCCTTTCATAGGGTGGGGGTGCCCCGGGGACTGATGGATTTCGTTGGCCTCCTGCTCGGAAAGAGACTTATTATTTCAGAACTGAGGATCGTTCCAAAATTAAACATGTAACAAGACGCACTCCCCAAGGGGGGTTCTCTCCCCTCTACTCAGGAATCTAACCATTGACGTCTAACAGTTATGCTCCTTGACTGTGGCATGTGACATTCCTGGCAAATGCTTAGCCGACTAGCTTGCAAGGAGAGGGACGGAAATATCAACTCTGCTCGGGACATACCTCTAACCTACTGCATACACAGATTAAAGGCTGAACTCCTTGGGGAGATAAATACCATGTGGGATGTGGAATCCACATGTCATACTACGAGGTAAATTTGACCAAAAACTGATGTAAACCGATCCTTAGCTCTCACTCAACTTGACCGCTCCTCTCTTAGATTAATATTACGTATGGAAAGAGGTTGGGATATCCAACTAAAGATTTTTGCCGCAATATTGTAACCGCCTCAACAGCTACTTGTCCAGACTTGATCCCGATATCCATAATGAGTTTCCGAAATGTGGATACTCCCCACATGACACCAACCCCCTCTTCACATGTCCGATCAATCCCACTCAGGTAAAACCCCTCTCCCTCTGATCCAAATCCGTCGAAACAGCTAATTTATTGGACCAACCGTTAGTTGAGCTTGAGGACAACGATTGATGGATAAGTTACCTATGCGAGGCTTAGTAGGGCCGTTACAACAACAACTACAACAGGAAGAGGTGGATAATATTGGACACTATCTCTTTTACTGACCCGCCCTAGCCAGATGGCGCCACCACTTCTTCAACAAGTACTTTTTCAATTGCTTATTGCCCTGAAATCAACGAACATTCTAAATTTTTCCTGCACGGCGGCGACATAACCTAGGTATATCTTAGAACTATGGGTTTCTTATTGCAATAGTATTTACTTCCGCGAGTTTATCTTCGCACGCATGAAATATGCTTGGATACTTTCTAATTGGCGGCTGCCATGGTCGAGCGGTTAAACCATTGCATCCAAATATCTACGAATGTATCAATTACAGTTTGAGTGTATATATTATGCATAGCTAATCGGATTCAGAAATGTCATTTTTCTAGATTTCACAAAAACCGGACTACGAGGGATTCCCTGTAGCCGAAGTTGGAAAATATTTAACTTAAATATCCTTTAATTAAAACCCTAGTTAAATGTCAATACAATTTATCATTCATATCAACTATATACCTATATGTATTACTTGTAGGTCTCCAACAGCGGTTTATCGGCAAGCGCTGCAACCGTCATCAAAAATACGAAGAAAGAGGAAAAGGAGCTAAGGCGCATGACGGAGGTACACTACGAGGCGGTACGTATTTTAGCAAAATTTTTTAAAGTAAATACCGTTCTAGGCTTTGCAATTTTAACTAATCTTTTTCTACTCATTGAATTTCCAATGATTTCTTAAGGCGTTCAAATGCCTACAATTTGAAAGGAAAATCATACAAATACAAGGTGGAGATTATGATCCGATACAGGAGGCGGAAGCACAGCAATATTTGACTAAACTAGAGGCTCAAAACAGTGCTTTGCAGCGACGTTTGCAAACAACCGAGGCACAGAACAAGAAGCTAGACTACAATATGCGCAATTTAACTGATGTTTACAATGCCGATAACAAAAATTTGCAAAATATGGTGAAAATAATGAACTATTAGCGTTGAATACTTTTAAAATTCACTCCTATTTCTACTTTTTATGCAGCTTTTTGATATAAAAGAGGCACAAATGTATTGCGAGGGTGGCGTTAAGCGTCTCAGTATCGAGAAGAACAAGAATCAGCAGAAGATTGTCGAGTTAAGTCTCTTGAAGATGCGCATCAAAGAGTTCGAAAACGAGATGGTGGCATGCGAAACTAACACCTATAATTTGGGCAAACACCGATTACAATTGAATCGCACAATGAAGGATCGTTTAGTGGAGATCAAAAGCCAAATTGATTTGTTGAATCTGAAACGTAAACATTTGAATGATGAAAGAAGCACATTGCTGGCCGATATCGGCGAACGTACGAAACATATTGATGTGCTGCGTGCCCGCTTCGAATTGACTTCCAAGCTTATGGGCATGAATGAGGATGGCACTTTGGTTACAGCTACCCAACTGAAGGTGGAAGCAGCGCAAGAGAAGCAAATGCTTTTGGATGAGGGTAACAACTTGAATGCGAAGGTCATCAAGGCCGAAGAGGATATTAAAGCAATGGAAAATACTTTGATGCTGCTGAATAATTCGAATGACTCCTATCGAAGTAAACTGAATAAGAAAGTTGATGAAGGTGAATTTTACTTAGAGAAGTTTTAGAGCCATTAACAATTTGCTGCCTTTATATCTTATACCATAACAGATCAAGTTTTGGAAGAAGTAAAGCAATTGCAATCCAACTATTGTCAAGCCTTGACCCAACTTAAGGCGCTGCGTAGCAAGCATCGACAAATAGAAAAGGATAATGATAAAAATCTTGCACTATGTGAAGATCTACAACGTCAATTAGAGGTTTTAACCGTCCGAAAGTAGGTGCAATAAATTATTTGAATCATAATTATTTGAACTCAAAAAACATTTATTTTTTATTTTTTCTCTACAGCCTGGAAAATTTTGAAATGCTAGAGAAATTGCAAAAGGAACTTAGTGATCAGAAAACCAAACTTCAACGCGCTGAGCGCGAAGTCAAGAATTCTTTGAAAGCTGTAAAAGAACGTAATTTGGGTAAAGAATTTATCGCAGGCTATGAACGAGAATTAGATTTACGAGAGCTGGAATACCGCAACTCAAGCGCGCTTAATCAACTGGCTGATATGGCAGAGAACGATGATGATATTGGTCCAAAAGTGATACGCATTATGTTGGAAAAGGGTTTGAAGATGCCACATTTACTTCAGAAAACGCGCAGCTTTGCTTCTTGGCGCAGTGATTTGTCGGAAACGTCCTCCTCCAGAGGTTTGCTATTTTAAATATTTCCAAACCCTAAAATAAATAAATTAATTAAATTCGCATTTTTTCACAGAAATACCCATTTCCACTACACGTTCCACGACGTCGGATAGCATCAGCGCAGCTATACAACCATCTGTTGTTTCTATTGATTTTACACAATCTTAATGTTGCTACCTCTAATCTATTTGTATTGGCGGCTTTATTTTTTTCCAAATAAACCTTTCCATAAATTACAATTACTCAAATAGTATACTCCATTCGAAAATCGTAAAATTTAGAGCATATGCCGTAACTTTCTTTATTTCAATTTTTATGTAGTATTTATTGCTCGGCTTCTGATTCACTACCGGAGCCGCTGCCGGAACCACTCGGGGTAGCACTGCCTGAACGTGATGGAGTACGTGATGCTGAACCGGAGCGTGATCCAGATGCGCTGCGAGAGCGTGAACGTGTGCCAGAGTGGGAGCGTGAACGCGAACGTGCTGGGGTTTTTGATGGTGAATGTGATTGCGAGGCGGAACGGGAACGAGAGCCAGAGGGCGAGCGTGAACGGCTTGCAGAACGCGATTGTGAGCGTGAAGCCGATCGAGAATGTGAAGCGGATTTATGGGAACCAGCTGGAGTGGCAGAACGAGATCGTGATGGTGATTTAGATGCAGAACGTGATCGAGAATGTGAGTGAGCTGTCGAACGAGAGCCACTACGACTGCGACTGCCTGATTTGGATCGCGAACGGGAACGCGAATGGGAAGCGCGAGAACCTGAACCTGAACGTGAGCCAGAACCGGATCGTGACCCTGAAACAGAACGAGATTTCGCATGCGATTTAGAACGTGAGCGTGACTGGCGATCCTTGGCCTTCTGTGCAGCTTCGGCATTATCAATTTCCGATTCCTCTCCTTCACCGCCCTGAGTGTCTTTATTGGTCTCATTATCGTTTGTTGCTTGCGTAGTAATTTGTTCCTCCTCTTCCTCTTCTTCTTCCATTTCTTCCTCTTCCTCGTCGCCGGGTGGTTCCAGTTGGCGCTCACGGTAACGTTGCATGCGATGCTCATTGGAGTCAAGTGGACGATGTTTTACCACCTTGAATGAAGCAAGCATATTTAGCACTTTATATTATTATTCTAATAAAAAATCTTACTAATTTGGTGTTGCTTGGCTGTTGTCCTGCTTTCACACGGCGC